GATTTTGACAAATTTTATTTAATGCAAAGTAGTTTTTCAGCGGACCTTGAATGTAAATGATTATGATTCTGGGCTCGCTGTTTGAACTGTACGGATAGGTGATTCATGTTTAAAATTGCATAGCAAATCCTGTTAACGCGTTTGTGCTAACACGCTATGCTAAGCATTTTTTCCTCTGTGAATTATGTGCCGACGATGATAAAGCGTGGCTGAGTAAGGAAACGAGTCAGTATGTTAGAGAGTTGACATCGTCATTGTTTGGTGACTTTATTCCCGAGGCATAAATCTACGTTAGACCTTGAATTTTTTTACTTAATTTCCGCAACGCAATAAAATTGGATCAGAGGAGAAGTAAATAGTGTCATTTTTGAAAGAAGCGATCGAATTTCGTTTCTATACATGTTTGAATGATTCATGGTTCTGGGCACCAAATTAGCAGAAGGTAAACCGTTTAATGCCAGCGCGTTTCACTGCACAGACCGCTGCATCATCAGGGCTGAACTAAATACAAATGGCAGCTTCAAGGCATTTATGTCCAGCAAGCGAAAATAGTATAAGGTTCACTTAAAAATGAATCGGATCTTTATTGTTTTGACCCGATTTTGCGTATCATTTTTTGTGATTGCGCCCTCAGCTTTCACTGATAGCAACAGAAGATGTGTATTCGTTGCAATTCGATCTTTTATTGCCAGTGTATGCATATACTCCTTTAGCAGCAGGCCTAATTTAGATCGGTCTTTGTCCATGACAGAGACATTGGTCTGACTGAAAGAATGCCCTTCAGTAATCGCATGCTAAGCAATACCAGGATTGTCAGCACGTCCATGGTGCTACGAATATTCAATTTCCGGTCGGTCTCTCGAATGTACACCTTGTCGCAGTCTCGGCACTGAACTTCGTTTACACAATTTAACACATCTTCTGGGTTAATGGGCAGGTACTTCTTAAATAAAATATGGCCCAATGTTCTGCCAGTCTTTACAGTGAACTCTGAACCCCATATCTTGAAGAAATTCCCTCGTGACACTTCGAAATACCTGGGGTATGAAAGGTAAAATTACCGCTGGCCCATTGTACTGGCGAACTTTAAATTTGAGCAGAGGTGCAAAAGTTCTTCGTCAAAAATCCTCCTGCGCTAACCGTTCTTTAGGAACGCTTGGTGAAGATGATGGATTTCTGCGTTTAGGCCCGAAGTATTAGTGCAGGTCTCTTTGGCTCGCAAGCGTATGTTCTTCACCACGTTCGTAAATAATCCAGGAGAGACACATGACGCCGGGTGTAGGCATCAGTTGGAGTGTGCTGATTTCCGATATACAGAAACCTCAAATTCATAGGATGGCGTCTTCTTTACCAGCACGTCCAGAAAGATATAAAGTGTTTAACTGCCACTTCGATAGTAAAGCATATTCCGCTATTTTTATCTTGTCCATTTATGTAATTCACGAAAAATTCCAACCTTTCCTGTTCGCCCTCATTTCGTTGGAAAAGTATGAAAATGCCATTAACAAATCGAGCATAGTACATTGGTCGGATATCTGGTGGACATTCATTAAGAGCTTTCACCTCCAGGTGGTCCATATAAAGATCGGCTAAACCTACACTCACCGCAAAGCCCATCGGAACGTCTTACGTCTGACGGTTAGTATTGTTCGCAAATTTGTATCTGGTGCCATTCTTCACAAGGCCAAAGATTGTCATTAAATCATCTACGCTTCAATTTCTTAACACACTTTCAGATATCCTCCACTCGTTCACCGTCTTCTTCAGAATATCGGATAGAATATTAGCCAGCGTGTTAGTTTTCATATTATTGAAAAGGGTAGTGAGTCTAACGAAGCCATGAAGCAATCCTGATGTTCATGTTCCTTCAGTCTGCACTGAAACTCCTTTCCGTCTTTTACTCTGTAAGTAATCCCGTTAGCAGCACGTTTCAGTAATCGATCCAGCTCTGTGACAGTCTGATTTGTTACTGTTTCCCTAGCCGGTATGATTACGCGCAACGGTTGTCAGGCTTGTGTAGTTTTACCAGTCCATATAATCTCGAGGCTATACAGGTATCCATACTAGGTAGGATTCTCTGTACACCTTCTTGTTTGACGATCTTCCTGTTTTGCAACTTCCTTGGATTTCTTGCAATTTTGCAACGTCCAGCAGCTTCTGGCGCGTTGTCTTTTCCGGATTGGCATTATTTCCGAGTTTGGTGTATAGATTGCAATTCCTGAAGTGATCCAACATTACAACTTAATATTTATCAATAGGCATCACCTGAACTGTTTTCCATCTGCTGTATTTGATCCTGCGAATTATGAATCATTCAAACAATTCTTTATATAACTATGGGCCCAAACTCAGAAACCTGGAGTATTATTTAGTTTAGTTGCGTTGTTTCTAATGAAACCGCCGATGCTTTTGAAGCTTTTTTCCATGTTGAGTGTTGTCGCATAGACTGACACACAAACACATGTTACAACTTCTGATGATTATCAAATTGAATGAACAGCTATCAGATTGGTGAAGATGAATTGCAGCCCTATCAGACAGTTGTGTTGTTTCAGACAGCATGGCTTCAGACACCAGGCTGTTTCTCTTGTTCCCAGGTTAACTGTTGTTACCCATTTCTCGACTCACTGCACAGAAACTACGTGAGATAAATTGTTTGCTCAAGAGAATTATCCGTTAAGTCATATTTTGTCTTATTCGGGATTTGTACTCTCCATCACTGCCTCTTGACCATCGGCATTCGGGCTTGTTCGAAGAGTATGTGTTTTCCGCTGTTAACTAATTAAGAATGGTGAACATTTTTCAGGAGGATCTTGTGGGAGAAAGCAGCTTATTCTCTGTTGCCTTATTTCAGTAAACTCATGTTTAGTGAACATTTCCCAGGATTCGAAGCCGGGTTTGGACACCACTTGAAGTAATATGATTTCTTGTCTCACCGTGGAGCTACTCCTCCCCCCCCCCGCTACACTCACACTTAGGTGAGGGTAAAATCATTAGTTTAGAAAATTTATCAAATTTGTTTCATGCCGAGAACTCCGATTCTAAATTTTCTTTGCCTGATTATGGGCAGCTGTTTAGTATCGTGTTCAATAAAGTAAACTTGACGACGCTATAGGTTTTGATTTTCTCTTTTGGTACTGCTGTTGACCTACATCAGTTATGTTGCATGCTAATCTGGTCTCCTGCAGAACTGTTTTTGTTTATTTTCGTGTTTACTTTAAATGTCCAAAATGATAACATTCATCGATTGCATTGCGGCAAATGGTTGTTAATTGATTCGACTATCATGGGAATAGTTCGTAGACAATTGTAGACCAATATCATGACCATTATTTGTATCTTTCTGTCCCATGCGGGTACGTCCAATAAACCATTTACAACACCTTAATTTTAAAAACATCAAAACCTTGTCGTGTATTTCTTGGATATTTCAAGAACCAGCTCCAAACCCTGAAGTCTTTAGAGATATTTTATCAATAACACGCACACCTATGCGAAGCTACCGAATGATTGGAAGTAAATCAGCGTCATTTATGTAAAATAGTGAATCCAAGATAATGGAACCCATATATGCAAAAGTGAAGATATAACTTCTCTAATTTTTGCTCGCGGTGGCCAGTGACAGCGACAACGGCTTCAAACCACAGATGCTGAGTTCGATTCCGGACAGTAGACAACTGTTGTTTTAGCTGCGTATTTCCTTGATCAATGAATTTACCCCACGCAGAGAAACGGGTGACAAGACGTAGACTTACGAACAACAGGGGCATTCTGATTTGGACATATAAAAGCAGGAGAGTTATACAAAGGTACAACTGTGCTGTCTGATGCGAATGCCACATATGCATGCAGTTCTCTTCGGTCCATCTGAGATGACTGCTTATTCAATGTAACAGTCAGTAAAATGTGTAAACTTTGTTGTTGTTATGATATTTAACATTTTTTGAAAAATATATAAATGCATGGGGTGTACACGTTCTAATCTTATTTACATAACTCATACGATGTTCACAAACAGTAAAGACACCCCCACGATTCCTGTACCATTTGCCACTGCATTCTGTCTTGTGTCATATCTGTTACGATCATGGTATAGATGGTATAATGTTCTAGCAGTAGTTCGCAAGACGACTGAAGAAATTATAGGAATGGCATCGGAAGCATATGCCAGGATTTCTCCGCTAACCAGCTTCGTTAAAATGCACCTAAAAATAAAGGACAGATCTGCATGATACAAAAAACAAAGAATTCAGCATTCCTGAATGGTCTCATGACATCCCGTTGGTAAGTAAGACTGTAGTCACCCTCGTAAAACTGTCGAGTACGTAAGTGTCGTATTATTTGGCCTTACCTGGTACGCACGCGTACAGTCAGTGGTGACCATGTTTTGGGGATCTTCATTTTATGTAAAGCGCATAGGAACTTTTATGCATCATATTATTTTGCTAGGAAATTTCTCTTTGCATGTATTGTGCCACTTTATACATATGCGCCAGCAGTAATCTTTCCAGGCCTGTTGCGATGTGACTTCAAGCTGCCTAGACGACCATTGAAACAAGTCTCTAGAATTAGTGACCTTTAACACTTTGATCCACTGTGGTCCTTGGCTGATTTAATACTCTCATGACATTCGCATGGGTAACACTATCTCGGAGAAAAGCATTTCCGCAATGCCTTCATATTTTTTGCCTCATCAAACTGTATTAAAGATTTATAATCCGATACTCAGCGAGCGTTCTGCGAAGTCCCCTTGATACTGAACAACAGCACCTGAATTTGCTCAACGTGACGTTATTCTTTTTCAGTTTTTCATTGTGGTATGTGCAGTGATTTTATGTTGTACTCATTGTTCATTCATTCATTCATGTAAATTGGCTATGCCATAATTTACCACATGGAACCCTCACCTGCTTG